AGTTAGAGGGTGAGCTGCTTGTGGGTGGAGTGGTTCCAGCTGCTCTCTGTTCCTGGACCTCTGTCTTGGCCCAGAGCGAGCACTGCGGAGAGAACAGTGGCTTGGAAAATGCTTAGACCCAGAATGTTTAGGCCAAGCATCAAATTGTCCCCGCAGTGGCTCTGGAATAACCGTTTCGTGACAAAGTCTCACTGCGTCTGCCCCTTCCGATCCCACGTCGCTAGAATCCAGAACTGGGAGAGCCCTGGCAGGAAGAGGGTGGTCTCCTGCAGCCCGCTCGCTCAGTGGCATCAGGAGGGATCCTTTCAGATGATGATGATGATTTTTTCATGCTGTCTTCCACTAAGTGTTTCTTGAATCGAATCACTTCGTATTCAAGTAATAAAAAGCACAACGGGCAGCCCATTTCTGGGTGATTATCTCACCCCTCAGGTGGTGTAATAAGGCACAGGGCCAGCATCCTGGCAGTCCTTATTGTTATTAGGAAGGGGATTTATGGGCAAAATAAAGAACACAGTTCCACGCCGCAGCAATAACCACAGCAAGGCTGCTGTTACAGAGACACCCACGCCCACCCAAAGAGTAGGGGCCATGGGGACCACGATTCCTCTCCTTCGTCCCCAGCCCCCCCGGCCTTGGGTGGGCAGTGACTTCCTGCTGTCTCTGAGGACCTTGTTAATTTTGTGTAAAGAGTCAGGAAAGCCCTGGTCCTGGACAACCACAGAGACTGACTGTCTGGGAGGAGCCCTTCTCCTGGACACAGAGAGGAGGGGCTGAGGCCCCAGAACAGGTGCACCCCTCAGCCCTGCTCACCTGTGTGGGGGAAGAGCGGTCACTGATTGGACAGGGGACGGCTAGCGATAGCTTTTCGTAAATCTTAAATGCAATCTAGAGGTGGGTTTGGTGTAGGCCTATAATCCCTCTACTGGGAGGCTTAGGCAGGAGAATTTGTGAGAGTACAAGGCCAGCCTGGGCTACATAGCAAGACCCTGTCTCAAAAAACAAAAAGAGCTAGAGTCCCTTGGGTACAGCTCACCTTCAGTGGTCTTCTTGTTTTTTTCTTTGTTGTCTGTGTTGTTCCTTCCTAGTGTCCCTCAGACCTTTCTCAACATCCCTCTACCGCCCCCTTGCTCACGTGGTCCGTGCTATTGTGTGTCTTTCATTGCTACAGTGCTGACCTATGAGGAGGTGGATTCTGCCTACTTCTACCTGACTCCCGGTCTCCTAGAAGGGTGTTTAATAAATATCTGCCACCTGTACTAACACTTTGCAAGCCACACTCTCAAGACTACCTGTGCTCTGCTTCTCTGGTTTTCACCGCGTTAAATTAGTCCTGTTCTAGAGGCTGCGTGTGGGACTCACTGTCGTGAGCCCCGTGCTGTTTGGAGATGGTTTGAGTGTGCAGCTTGGGAGTCAGAAGTGGGGTCCTGGGGGGCTGTATTAGGGGATGGAGGGACCCTGGTCGGGTGGAGCTCGTGCAAGTGCTTAGGTGACCAGGGGCTCGGCCCTTGGGGACGATCAGCGCAGTTCTCATTGGACCTGGAGGATTCCCGAGAGAGCTAATTATTAATAAGAAAGTGAGGGCCAGGAATTTGGCTCAGTGGTTCTGCTGCCTGCTTCTCAAGCGCAAGGACCTGAGTTCGGTCCCCGGTACCCAAAAAAAAAAAAAAGAAAAAAAAAAAGAAAAAGAGAAAGTGAGAGTGCTTCCCGTATGCCACGCGGTCACCCCGGTCTTGTGTGCACCACACTGATGGGCGGAAGCTGAGGGGCCTCACAGCACGTGGGGTCTCCCGGACTTGGGCCTTCAGCCTCCGAAAGTGTGAGCTCAGTAAACCGCTTTTCCTTGTAAAGCTCCTAGCCCCACATGAGGAGGTGTGATCAAACAGTGGTGAATTTCAATTATAGTTTTTAAGAGAAATTAGTGACAGTTCAAGACACATCGTCATCGATCCCCCTCCCTCCAAACACACCCATCCTGTTGCTCCTGCGGCTTCCCAAAGCAGTTCTGGAAGCCCGTTTTCGGAGTGTCTCTCGTTGCGCTGTCCTGGCCGGCTCAGGGTCCTCGATGGATCCCAACGTTGACTTGGAGGAGGAGCCCAAAGTCACCCAGTACTGGATCTGGTGAACAGGGCGGATGAGGACCCAGCGTCACATTTTACAAGCCCACCTTTCTGTCGGGTAGCACTCAGAAGTAGCCTTCGCAGTACCTGCGCTCATCCTTCAGAAAGACATTCAAGAAAGAGCACGTCCAGACCTGCTTCAGAAAGAGGCAAGCACGGTGGGACGAGTGTGTTTGAAATGAAGGCGGGGACACAGCAGTGTTAATGGCACTGTTTTTTGCTGTGATCATGTTTTTTTCCTCCTTTTTTTTTGGTACCGGGGATCGAACTCAGGACCTTGTGCCTGCAAGGCAGGCGCGGTGCCACTGAGCTAAATCCCCAACCCTGTGTTAATGTTTAAAAAAAAAATTTAAACACATACTGTAGCTTTTCACTTCGCACTTGCCTGTTCAGTTATCTCCGCACCATTTATTGAAAAGCGGTCTTAGCCTTCCTGTGAAGTTGCAGTTCATGAAAAATGTAAGGGTTTCTGTACAGACTGCCAACTCTGGTCCGTTCGTCTCTGACCGTCGTGATGTCAGCTCCACGCTGTCTCGATCACTGTTACACTGTGGTAAGTGCTGAAATCAGGAAGTAAAAGCCCCCCGACTTTCTTCTTGTTTTTCAAGATTGTTTTGGCTCTTCCACATTCTTTGAATCTCCACAGGAGTTGTACAATCACTGCATCAGTTTGTACAAGAAAGGCAGCAATCCCGGGAGCAGTGCCTTCCTATCCATGAACATGAGATAGTTTTCCTTTCACTCAGGTCCTATTTTTCTACAATGTTTTATAGTTTTCAGTATACATAGCTTGTACTTCCCTTTGTCAAATTTATCCCACGTTTTATTATTCTTGATGATACTGTCAGTGGATTCGCTTTTTAAATTTTATTTTCGGACCATTTGTTGTAGGTATGTAGGAATACAGTTGATTTTACATATTGATCTTATATCCCAAAATATCACTAGCCCTGTTTATTCATTCTGATTTTGTATATGTCTAGATTCCTCAGGATGTTCTGTGTACACAATAGTATCACACGTAGAAGTCATTTTACTTCTTAGATTCCAATGTGGATTTTTTTTCTTTTTCTTATCAAAGTGTCCTCTCTAGAACCTGTAGTACAATGTTGAATTGAAGTGGTGAGAGCAGATATTTCTTTTTTTAATTTTCCTTTCTTTCTTTCTTTCCTTCCTTCCTTCCTTCTTTCTGTCTTTCTTTCTTCACACCAAGCTTACATCCTCAGCTCTTTTTTATTTTTCATTTTGAGACAGGGTCTCTCTAAGTCATCCAGGCTGGGCTCAAACTTTTGATCCTGCTGCCTCAGCCTCCTGGAATGCTAGGATTACAGGAATGTAGCACCATGCAGTACTGTAGTTATTGTTCTCCTGGTTCCTGGTAATAGGGGTGACACTTTTGGTCTCTCATCAAGCATGGTTATTGCCATTTGTGAGTTTTTCTTGGATGCATTTTATCAGGTCAAGGAAATGCCTTCTTATTCCCACTTTGTTGGGTGTTGTTGTTTTACTATAAAAGGATATAAGATTTGTGAGGCGCTTTTTCTGCATTTATTGAGACAATCCTGTGTTTTCCCCCTGGTTCTACTGTTAAGGCCTCTATTACTGGGTTTTGTGTATTCAGCCACTTTTGCATTCTTGGGATCAATCCTGCTTGTTCATGCTGTGCGTAATTTCCGGTGTGTTGCTGGATTCAGCCGACTAGTATTTTGTGGAAATTTTTCCTTATATTCATGCAGTATATTGGTTTTTGGCTTTCATCTCTTCTGATAGCATTGTCTGGTTTTGGTATCAGAATAATACTGGCCTTATTGGGAAAGTAAGTCTTTGGAAGTGCTACCTATTCATTCCCTCTCCCCGCCCTCTCTCCCTCTCCCTCTCCCTCAATGTCTCCCCCCCTCCCTCTCCCTCTCCCTCAATCTCTCTCCCCGCTCCCTCTCTCTCCCCACTTCCTCTCTCTCTCCCTCTTCCACTCTGTGCGTGTGTGCGTGCGTGTGTGTGTGTGTGTGTGTGTGTGTGTGTGTGGTGCTTGCTTGAATAACTCAGGGCAAGCACTCTATCACTGAGCTACGCCCCCAGCATCATCTCTTCTATTATATGGACTCATGGGTGGAGTGGGGAGTGGGGCGGATTAAAATGTTGCAAAAGTTATTGGTCATACTGAAATTTGGCCATCTTCCCCCGCCCCGAATAAATTCTATCCAGATTTCTGCAAGTCTTTGTTAAATTTCCAGGGATCTTGACAAGGTTTTCTGCGGGATTCTCATGGATCTTATGGAGGAGAGAGACTGCAGAGGTCCCCATGTCACCATTTTTGCTGCCACTGTCTCAGCCGTGCCTCTAACCTATTTCTGTTTACGGGGAAGAACTTCATGAACACTCAGGGCTCCTTCATTGTTTATCTCTTGTCGGCAATGATGAAGTCAGTCAGTGGCTGTCCTTCCCCAAAGCCTCTTTATTTTCTTGGTTTTTCTCCTTTTTTTATTTTATGAAAAAAATAAAAATTTATAACAAAATAATAAGAGAATAACAATAGTTAATCCACTGTGTGCCATTATCTTCAAAGTAGTTACCCCAGAATACAAGACATCAACTAAAAAGCTTCTTGCAAAGAACTTTCTTTTCATTGATCTAAGAGAAACAAGTAGGAGAAATGACATGTTCCCATTTTTGAAGTTTTTTTAGATCTGCTAAAAACAAAGAGTCCAAAATAACAATTTTGTGTTCATGTTAAGAATAGTCCTTGAACCCTTGGCCAACAGTTATGGCCAGCAGCATTTTTATCTCTCCAACTGTCCTCTCAGAAAAGGAATGGATGGGAAGTTGGCCACATGTGTTACGTGTGCTTTAAGATAATGTAATTTGTTCTCTCTTGTATCATAGGAATTTAATGAACAAAATGATGAATACACCAGATGGGCGGGCTTTGTATCCTCGCACCCGAAAATTCACACGTTCAAGACCCCACTCTTCACCATGCCGAGTATATTCAAAGGACGGTTTCCGAAATACATTCAGACCTTCCTCTTCACGTGAGTGTTCATTAGCAAAAATAAACACTAATGGTAGATAGCACTTTTCAATACCTAATACATACTAAGGTCTTCCAGAGATTTTGTGTGACGTTTAATCCTCATAATAACTCCATGAATGACGTTAGATCATTAGTCCTGTAGTTGGTATGGAGAAGCTGAGACACAGATTAGTTAGGTCATTTGTCTAAAAGTTACAGGGTTCTAAAGTGAATGGGTCAGGCGTCCAAAAAATGGGCAACTGGAATGAAGAGACTCTTCTCAGAAGAAGTACAAATAAATGGCCAATGAATACATGAAAAAATGTCCAACATCGTATTAGAGAAATGCAAATTAAAGCAGCACTGAGGTGCCATCTTACTCCAGAAAGAATGGCTGTTATCAAATAATCAAATAATAACAAATGCTGGAGAGAATGTGGGGAAAAGGAAACTTTCTCTATTGTTGATGGGAATGTAAACCAGTATGGAAATCAGTGTGGAGAGTCTTCAAAAAGCTAAAAATAGAAATTCCATTAAACCCAGCTGTTCCCCTTCTAGATATCGTCCTGAAAGAGTTCAAAGCCGTGTACTACAGGATACATGCACACCCTTTATAGCCATATAATTTACCATAGCTAAATCCACAGATGAATGGATAAAGAAAATGTGGTATTTACACACAATGGAGCACTACTCTGCTATAAAATATATAAACTTGAAGCAATATATAAAAATATATATATATTAGGTACATAAAATATCTATTATAAATATTATGTCTATTATATAATAAATATATCTATTATATATATATCTAATATATATATTAGATAAATAGGAGGAATGGAGACCTTTTTCAAATGCATATTTTAAAAAGAGACAGGGAGGAGGAGCCAAACACAAAGGGAAGGGAAAGGGAATAGAAAAAGGCAAACAAGTAAAAATAGAGGTTTTACAAATGGGAAGGAACCATGACTTGGAAAGTGCAGGGGTGGAGGGCAGGGGATGAAAAAAAAAATTGAGATATATTAAGTGCATGCACCGACTCCCCAGAATAAATGGGGTCATTAGGTACTGCAAACACATGCTAATAAAAAATAAAAATAAAAAATGAAGTAGATTGGTTAGGGTTTGAACTCAAGCACTGTGATTTTGGGACCCGTGAACTTAACTGTTAATGCTAGAGAGGGCACTGATTTCATTCAGGTAAAAAATTAGTAGACTTTATTTTTTGGAAAAGTTTTAGGTTAACAGAAAAATTAAACAGGAAGCACACAAGGCCTCCATACACCTCCTCCCTCCTCCCTCCACTTTGATTAGCATCTCATACTTATTATTATCAAAGTTGATATCAGTATCTGAAGCCCATGCATCCCATACGTCTGCAACTTGCATCGGAGTTCACTTGAGGTGTTGTATGCTCTCTAGGTTGGAACAAATGTATAGAGAGACATGGACCCGTCATTAGAGGACCATACAGAATATAGTAGTTTCCCTCCCTTAAAAATTAGCACCCCACTCATTCATCCTTTCCTCCCCACTTGCTCCTGACCACCACTGCTATTTCTGTTGCCTCTATAGCACTGTCTTTTTCTAGAGTGTTCTACAGTTGTAACTCACCGTATGTAGCCTTTTCAGATTGGCCTTTCATTTTATACTGCGGTGTACACTTTATACTGCAAGATATGACACATAGCTGGTGTCCTGCAGAAGATTATACCTCACTATTCTCTTGCTCAGTGCCTACTCTGTAAGGCAGGTAGGCCAAGGATAGGCTGATTTAAGCCAGCACTTTTTGATTTTTGTTTTGGTACCAGGGATCAAACTCGGGACCTTGTGCTTGCGAGGCAGGCAGCAGAGCCACTGAGCTAAATCCCTGGCCCATGGACTAGCACTTTTGATCTCTAGTTTTTAAGGCTGATTATTTTCTGGCTAGGTCTTATTTTCAGGGAGTCAGTAATGTGCATTTAAGGTCCCCATGTCTTTTTGTGACTTGATAGCTCATTTCTATCTAGCATCCCTTATCTGGATGTACTCATTTATTTATCCATTCACCTACTGTAGAGTGTCTCAGTCGCTCCAGGTTTTAGCAATTATGAACGAAGCTGGCGTAAACATCTGCATTCTGTGGGGACATGAGTCTTGAGCTCCTTTGGTAAACACCAAGGAGCATAATTGCTGGATGTTATAGTAAGATCGTGTTTGGTTTTGCAAGCATCTGCCAACCTCTCTTCTGCAGTGTCTGCGCCATGTGTACTGCATTCCCACCGGCGAGGGTTGAAGGTTCCTCTTGCCCCGGGTCCTCGCCAGCACTTGATGTGGTCGGGTTCCGGGTCTCAGCCACTCTGCTAGGTGTATAGCAGGATCGCATGTTTGGTTGACATTTCCCTGGTGACATCTGGTGTAGAGCATTTGTTGATGTGGTTATTTGCCATCTCTGCATCCTCTTTGATGATATCCTGTTAAGATCTTTGCCCTATGTTTTCATTAGATTGTTTGATACCTTATTGTTGAAGGTTTTTTTTGCATATTTAAAATAATATTCTTTCTCAGATAATGTTTTGCAAATATAGCTTCCCAGAATATGATTACCTTTTCATTTTCTTGACATGGTTTTGCAAAGCAGACATTTTTTTTTTTTTTTTTTTTTTTTTTTTT